GTGAGTACTCCAATACACGTCGCAGCCTCGGAACACCAGAAACTTAGCGCTTATCAATGCCAGCAAGCACTGATAACTGTTAACCAGTCGGGGCGGGATTAACAGGAAAGGAGGCGTCAGCTCAGCCTTGTTGACTCCGCCCTCGTCAACCAATCGATTTCGAGCCGCAAGAGTGGGATTTCCGCTGTGGTTGCGTACTCCGCGTTCGTTTTCATTGGAGGGTTTTTTCACTTTGGTTGATCGCGGACGCTGCCTTTAACACATAAGGCCCAAATAGAAACGTTAGCTCACCTCAGTCATACTTAGTGACACCTGAGGTAGCAGCTCATTTGCTCTTCGATCTGCTTCTCGTATAGCCTCATCATATATCCGATCAGCTTTCGCCTGGAATATTTCTGAGATAGACCAGTTTTTACAGAACCTATACTTTTACCGTGTCAGCTACATAGATCAATCTAAATCACCTGATCAATCTTCCGTACGCTGAGGTTGAAAGCAGCCCGAACTGGCTTATGATCGCTTATTACAATCCTCTCTGCACTTTCATATTGGCAAACTTTCAGCTGAGTATCTGGGTCACGCGTCCACCAGAGTATGCGATCACACCATGCTGGTACACGAGCCTTTAGCAAAATGTTCTCAGTTTATTGCGACAATGGAACAACAAAAACTAAATTTACCTTTTCACTTGAGTCCCATGTGGATGTCCCAACATCGTACTTGTATGTTGGTCGAAAAGGTAGGATATCAGGCTCTTGGAAACCGATAAATACCTGTCCGTTTGATTGCTGCTCCCGTAACTAAATAAGGGTGCTAGACGTTGAGAGATTTGGAAGGGGCCAGAATCAAAGTTATCAAAGCACTACCTGGTCATATCTGAAAAGGAGCGGAAATTCTGATGACGAAGCTATATGTCTCACCTGCAAAAGAATTTTTAATCCAGAAATTGAGTGAAATCAGTTGCATCTATCTTGAAAAGCTAGCGCGTAATGGCAGGTTTGAGAGTCAGCCATCAGTTTATCGAAGGAAAAAAAGCTGTAGGCAAATTCCTAGGCTTCTCTTGGAACCCCTTTGAACATGCAGGATAAATCCAGTAGGGGTATAAAGATCTGCACACCTAGTTACACCGTTTGGAACCAATTCAAGATTCTGGCGCGCCTCTCCTCTCTCGAGCTCTCCTGGCGTTAGAGAGCCGGGATTTTAAATCTTCGCGCAGACGAAATCCCGAACGGTGTCTTAAGTAGAGAGGAAGCTACCATTTGCGCTATTAATTAAACCACGGCTTACCACATACAACACTACCGTCATGAAAAAGTGAAAAGTGAAGGGAAGAAAATACCAGGTTAAGCTCACTTGGTCACCACTCCACTCAGAATTCTCAATTTTTAACCGATAATTGAGATCACCGACAAACACAGGCGTTCGAGTGGTCGTATATAGATAGACCATCGGCAAAGGTTATTTGAGAAATGTCCCTAGAAACGTAGTTCTCATCGGTGTTTCACCTTTCTGAATAAATCAGTCGCTGCCAAACCTGAAATCCTGGTTCCTTCGTTCCAACTCACCAGTTCCAGCCGCCAAATGGCAATTGACAAAACAGACTAGCGTGTCGTTTAGCTTCAGTGAAATGGCTGTTCCTCCCTATGAATAAAACACCAACTATTAATCAGTTTCAAACACAGTATGGTAGCATTGAGCATTACAAATCGCTAAGATTTAAAGCAAACAAATTTGCTTTGAAAAACGCCATACGCTTCAATACACGTCATTAAGGTTGGGGTTCAGAAGCCGTCCTGGCTGATTAATGAGTGGCAAATGTCAATTTCGACTATGTGAAAACAAGGCCTCCCCAAGAATTTCAAACAAAAAATAACAGATGCCAAAGTTGCAACAAGGTCAAACAGCGATGTAGCATATGGTCTGCTGTATCATGCACTGGTAGAATATTATACTTGGCAGGTGTAACTAGATTCACATAATAATCAAACTGGTTCATTGCAAAAAAAGCAGGATATGACCGCCGCGATGATTACAATAGCGGTTCTTCCATAAATAATTGCGAAATAAAATATTGGGTCGAGATGTGATTGGTATTCTGAATGTTACAGGTTTCTGATTCATTTCAAAAGCGCGTGGGGCGTCTGTGACCCAATACTAAAACAGACAGAAGCTAGTTCATTGATGTTTCAGTTCGAGCGTGCTTAATTTCAACGTTTCTTTCAACCCTGAGAGACCCCAGATCCTGCCCAATAAGTGAATAAATCGCTTTATAGGTACCTTGTTGCCAAGCTTATTGATAAACATCGATATGCCTGTCGCCATATATGCAGAGTTGATTTTTGACACTTTCACGACAGAGCTTTCTTGATGGGGAAACAGTACCATGAAGATTCCAATAAGGCGCATACTAGTTACCTGAACATATACGGTATGGTATTTTCAGCTTAAGAAGGAGAAAAACAGCACGTCAGGTCTGGTAAGGTTGGCAGGCATTTCGCGGAAGAATATTCAGGACTGCATCTATCCAGGAGAGCGGCTGACAAGGTCAACAGACTGATTACCCAGAGCATAGTCGATACCCATAGCAATAAAAGCAATTACTAGAGTTTTTCAGCCAACCCAACATGTAACAGTACGCTGCACTGAATAACGAACTTGATGAATGTACTATAAACGCACCACTCTAAAGTTCTTTCCTCCTCCAGGCAATGACGCTCTTATACATTCCAACCACTCCTCCATCTTTTTCGGATTATCGATTATGAAGGTTCCAACAGACAAATCCATTTCTTGTAAGCTTAAATTAACTTAGCTTAGCTTAACGTACTGGATAGCGAATAGAAGGAAATCCACATGAACACAATGCTGTTCATTTACCCAATAGCGTAGAAATCGCTAGTATTACCATCAGGAAACCATCCACGAATGACTTCTGGAGGGCTCTTTCCATTTACGTTGAATGTTGTTATGTAAATGGAAACGTTCGCTGAAGGGCTGACAATATCTGGAACTAGAAAAACAGTTTACGCATACATTACAGGGTTGTTGTTTACTGACGACTGCAGAAATGGTGTGGTATCCTTCCAACAACAAAGCACCATTATCAGTAATTGTAAGCCATTTGTGCAGACAGAGTACCAGCATTATGATGGACAAGGAGATGTGAACTGTGAGGTCAGTACGGTACGACCCCTCCCCTCCTAACAAAACGATTCTCGGTACGGCTCCCCCATCCCATCACCTGTCACCTGTCTAAATTTCCCATATTTCCCAGTTTTTCACCCATGAATTTTCCATCAAGGGGGGGGAGGTATATAGCCAATATATGGACAATGTGGGACGGGAAAGTCCCAGATTTTTCCCAAGTTTCGACCACTTTTTCCAGAAGTTCCCGATCCTACTTTTCCCCCAAACATTTTGCTGTGGAGCGGAAGAAGAAGGGAAAGGGGGACGGAAAAGGGGGGAGGGGTACGTAGTACACACGAAACAGCAAAAATCCAAAGCCAACAAAAATTTTTTCCGACGCAAGGACAAATTTCTCTCAAAACCAAGCATACAAGGTCCCCCTGCCTTCTCACGACCCCCTCCTCCCCAAAGGCCACGCACGACCCAGTGTTTCACACAACGACTGCTGTTGCAATGTCACCTAGCACGCGGCCAGCTATTACAATTTAATCGCGGAGTTGCTTCCTCAGCTGACTCCCCTGTTCCCCCAGCGATTTGCTTTGGAACGCTTACACATCCCTTTGTTTGCTTATTATCCCGTGGAGCAACAAACCTTCACAAGAAGATCCCTAGCGTTTTCCGTTTTTCATGCGCAGAATCATTTACGTTATGATACCCGAGGCGGCTTGTTAAGTGTGTTGGCGGCGGCGGTGAATTGCAGCTGAATGAGCGCTGAATATTCTTGAAAAACCGGTCCCCCCTGGTTCGCCCTAAGCGCGCGCATATTTTACTAACACGAGCGCTCGCTCGCCAGTCATTGGATGATGGGGCGGGAGAAGGAAGAGGAAGGAAGACACAAGGCTTGAACGACGCAGATGTTTGAGATATGTTGCAATTGGACAATAGGCATCACATAAAACTCTGGATGAGCATGATGCTCAGGAGATCGATCTGGGCAGTTCTTGACTAAAGGGCAACAAGGGGAACAAGAACTGTTGCCAGTTTGGCTGCTTTCTCCAACAATCAACTCGTCATTTAACCCATTTCCCTTGCAAGTACTTCTTGTGTCCTGACCTCATAGGCACCAGCTCCATCGATCTCCCCCTTCCCACAGATGAGCTCGACCTCTCATGTTAATCTCAGAGGAAGTGAATGGTTGCGCATATGGACAAGCTGCATGGCGGATGTTGAGACCAGCGGCGGCGTTCCGCGATGCACGTGCTATGTGACGGGGCGACAATTTAGGCAGAGTCAATGGCTTTGCATCGCTACGCGCGGCCGTCGGAGGGTAATCTTCGGCAATAAGACCTCCTTCTGGGATAATTGCTCGTCACCCAAGTGATTATAAAACAACATTCAATCTGCCACTACATCGTCATTGTTTTGCAGTGTTCGACGGCAAAAGTGCAACCTGTCACTGGCTACTCTCATCAACCACCTCTGCATAATGGCCTACTCGTGACATGTTATCAGTTCAGTACTGGAAAGAAGATCTACGAAATGAACCCGCAGAACAAGAGAAACCCTCCCATTTGGGGCTTCAGAGGTGGTCCCTTTGTGGCCCGATTTCGTGCTTAAAAGCATCGTATTCACTGGCGAGCGTCGATAACCGGCTTGGCTGCCCTTCGGAAGTTGTGAGCAATCAAAGAAAAACTGAGTTCCGCGCAGAAAACAATTCCCGTTGAAGTCAACTGCAACCAGGCCTCCTCTGGGCGGGCTTCACCTTACTAAGAACAGCTTTTATCACAGAATCGAATGGCGGCCTACAAACGCATTCTGGGACAGTTCGGAGAGGGAGGGGGGGGGGGCATTTTGCACTACTGCTACCTCCCATCGACGTGTCTACCCATCTAGAGAGCCTTTTCTTGAGTTGACAGGTTTTACCATGATGGCTCGACGAGCTTGCTCCAGCTTCACAAGAGTTCACAGGTTTCACCAGAGTGAGACTTGTAAACCGAAACTAGTGAAGCAATGAAAGCACAAAATGCCCCCTCCCGTCGCCGAACTGCACCCATGATTCTCTCCTCCTAACCCCTGTTAATTGACCCTCTCCTCCATGTCAGCCAACTGAGGTCAATGTATGATTTCACTCAAAATCCGATTGCGTCCGACTGAAGTACCTCTCAAATTCCCAAGAAATTCTCCTATGTGCATAGCACAGAAAGTCATTTGGTCGCCGGCGCCGCCACGTTTAACCCTTTGATCATTATCTCTTCACGAAACGATTATGAGAACGACGAAAGAGTGGGGGAGCGGCCGCGGGAGAACTCGTCCTCAACTGGTCACGTCAGTTGCTTCGATTAGCCCGGCATAATTAGCTACTGCTTGAGATGGTGTGACTATGGGAGAACATACAACATAATGGTCATCATGCCTAACATTTAATAAGCGGACTATTCATCGCGTGAACCGCATAAATCGTCGAGTTTTTGCGCGGGGACGAGAGAGAAACGCCCGCCCACCGAAGTGACAAATCGCCTTACTCTGCGGCCAATTACTTGTTTTTTTTATGGTCTGCACCGTGAATACCACCGTTCATGCATTATTCATAGGAAACTTGTCTCTTTATTAACTTCCCGTACTACAATCTCCCTAGACATGTTGACTCTTTCGTATGTATCCCTCACTATTGAGAGAGGGCTTGTCGCATGTGTTTTGGGAGTTGTTAAGAAATTCCCGCGGGCTGATGTAGGGATTTCTTGGCGGAGATGACATGCATTGGTGGGCCCTGTGGCAGATCAAATTTCACCGCACACATCGCAGCTCCAACGTGTGGGCCATGACTCTTCGACAGGGTGCAATCGCCACTTTATGACCACATGGTGAAGTATATAGTTGTGCTCAGTCAAGGCTAACCCCATTGCTTTCACACCAGGGCACGTCCTGCCGCTGCGGAAAATTTTGGGGAATACGACCCCCCCCCCTCAATATCGTCCTCTGCTGCTACGTTTCCCATTCCCGATCCGCCAGCTTTTCCTCTGTCACGTTCCCACATTTTCCAAAACTCCCCAGGAATTTGTCGGTTTTTCTCCAAAAATTTTTCCGTCAACTTGGGACGGGAAGACGGGTCAAAGAGCACATGCGAAGCAGGAAAAACCGCGGAAAAAGTCAAGAAAAGCACTGAAGAAATAAATTTTTCGATAACGCGGCAAATTTCGTAAATTCCTCGCAAATACGGCCACACTCTCCCAGCGACGACCAAATACGACCCCCGCTGTGGATTCACCAACGTAAGACGTGCCTTGTTTCACACCCTTCCAGGGGGAGAAGGCCCATTGGTGTGAAATGATTATGTCGAATGTCTTTGAGCACGTCAGACTTAATGCAATTAAGGGAAACACTCAATGTGTAAGTGGTTCTTCTTGATGGGATGAAACAGCAGGGGTGGGGGTCGGTGGCGACCCACAACGGATGGGTGAGATGTCTTGCGTCGCGCGTTCTGCTCCCCGTCGTCTTCATCTCCGCTTTCATTCATACCTCCTGCCTTCTCCGACATTCCCTCTTTCTCCTCGTCCATCGGCACTCTCCGCACTCATGCACCATCACTTCCCGATGTTTTGTTTACTCTAGCCGTTTGGCGGATATTGGCGACAATTAGTTGTTGAGAATGCGGAACGCGATAACATTCATACAGCAACACTTTTTTCAGCATGGCTTTCATGTCCGCAAGAAGTCAATGACTCTAAGGTCATTTCTGATTCTTTTATGAAGTACACGTTTGTTATTCCGCTCCACTCCTA